GATTCTCTGGTCCTGATTTCTGACCCTGTTCTCCGGACAAAACCTCTTTTTTTGTGGGTGGGGCCCTCTGTAAGCTGGTGGAAGAATACTCATGTTGAGTCTTCCCCACTGGATTCTTCAAAGGCCAGCCCTTACCAAAAAGCGGTTTTGGAAGGGGTGAGTCATGGTTTTAAGGGCTGACTTTCAGATCCGGGCTCATTGCAAAGATGTGATCAGGTATATCTTCCGAAGAGCAGAAGGAAACGTTTTACTGCCTTTGGAGAGGAGAGGCACCCCATAAGAACATTAGAGAAGCCAATGTTGGGTCCGGCCAATGGCCCATCCAGGCCAACACTCTGTGTGACACAGTGGCCAAAAATACCAGGTGCCATCAGGAGGTCCAGCAGTAGGGCCAGGACACTAGAAGCCCTCCCACTGTTGCCCCCCCAAGCACCAAGAATACAGAGCATCCCTTGCCCCAGACCGAGAGTTCCTATCTATACCTTGTGGCTAAGAGCCCATGATGGACCTCTGCTCCGTAAAAGAACATCAGAGAAGCCAATGTTGGGTCCGGCCAATGGCCCCTCCAGTCCAACACTCTGTGTCACACAGTGGCCAAGAATACCAGGTGCCATCAGGAGGTCCAGCAGTGGGGCCAGGACACTAGGAGCCCCCCCACTGTTGCCCCCTCCCAAGCACCAAGAAGACAGAGCATCCCTTGCCCCAGACCGAGAGTTTCTATCTAGACCTTGTGGCTCATAGCCACTGATGGACCTCTGCTCCCTATGCTTATATCAAGATCTCCCTCCCCATTTGTTTGCAAAGGGCTTGCTTGATCCTGATTTGTGTTGTTCTTGTCTTAATGCCATGAGCCGTAGTAGGAATCCTTGCCTCTTTGGTGGGCATGACTACGAGTGTCGGGGATTTCTCTCTGTGGTAACTAGTTTCAGAGGGGAGCCGGGTTGGTCTGCAGTAGAACGTCTAGATTCGAGTCCAGTAGCACCTTAGAGACCTACAAGATGCTTCGGAATAAGCTTTCACGGCCACAGGAGGTGGCGGCGGCTACAAGCATGGACGGCTTCAAGAGGGAATTGGATAAGCATATGGAGCAGAGGTCCATCAGTGGCTATTAGCCACAAGGTATAGATAGGAACTCTCAGTCTGGGGCAAGCGATGCTCTGTATTCTTGGTGCTTGGGGGGGGGGAACAGTGGGAGGGCTCCTAGTGTCCTGGCCCCACTGCTGGACCTCATGATGGCACCTGGTGTTTTTGACCACTGTGTGACACGGACTGCATGAGCTATTGGCCTGATCCAGCATTGGCTTCTCTTATGTTCTTATATGGAGCAGAGGTCCATCAGGGGCTATTAGCCACAAGGGATAGATAGGAACTCTCAGTCTGGAGCAAGTGATGCTCTGTATTCTCGGTGCTTGGGGGGGGGGGCAACAGTGGGAGGGCTTCTGGTGTCCTGGCCCTACTGCTGGACCTCCTGGTGGCACCTGGTGTTTTTGGCTGCTGTGGGACATGGAGTGTGGGACTGGATGGGCCATTGGACTGATCCAACATTGGCGTCTCTGATGTTCTTCTATGGAGCAGAGGTCCATCAGTGGTTCTTAGCCACAAGGTATAGATAGGAACTCTCAGTCTGGGGCAAGGGATGCTCTGTCTTCTTGGTGCTGGGGGGGGGCAACAGTGGGAGGGCTTCTGGTGTCCTGGCCCTACTGCTGGACCTCCTGGTGGCACCTGGTGTTTTTGGCCACTGTGTGACACAGAGTGTAGGACTGGATGAGCTATTGGCCTGATCCAACATAGGCTTCTCTTCTGTTCTTTCGAGAGTCAAAGCTCCGTTTATCACATACCTGTCTGTTTATTGGCGTGTGTCGTATCCGTCAGGAAGATCTGGGAAATCATACAGAAGCTTTTTGGGAAAAAAGAAAAGGTGCTGAATCATTCACCCTCGGCTTCTGTGGTTTCATTTGCTGAGCGTATTAATGAGGCGAGAGAGAGCAAGCAGTGTTTCTTAAATACATGCTGCTATACCTTTACCACCTATACCTTTCCCCTATACCTGTCTCCCCTGTCCTCCTTTCACCTAAATGCCCATTTTCTTCCAAAGGAGAATAGCTGAGCAGCAGAGCACACATGCTTTGCGTGCATAAGGCCTTGGGTTAATACCCCCCCCCAGCCCCTCCGGTTATAATGATCTCGTATAGCAGGCTGGGAAAGGCCTCCGCCTGCGGCCCTGGAGAACCGCTGTCAGTCAGAATAAACCATGCTGAATGAGATGGAAGAGTGGTCTGATTTGGTATAAGGTAGCTTCAGACAGTCGGCATATTCAGACCTTGTTCCATGACAGATCTTGTCGTATGGATCAGCGCCGCTTGCTCACCAGGGTCCCTCTGGGATGCCGCTGGGAAGAGTAAAATGTTTGTCTCCAACCACAGGAGAGTATTTGCGGCATTGGCAGTTTCTGCGTCTGGCCGTGTAGGGGTGCGAATATTAAAAATGTTGTTCCAGCATAGAAACAGATCTTACCTTTTGGCTGTCCTTGTAATCTGCTTTCTCCCTTTTGAGATGGCTGGAAAGAGATGCCCTGTGATGTTTTTGTATTTTATTCCTTTCGGTTTGCCTGCGCTGCCCACTTTGTAAATGCAAAGGCCCGTGTGCGCAAGGAGCTCTTTCACAAGCCGTTTACGTCTTTCACAAGCCGTTTACAGTATGCTTTGGATACCAACTGTGGGGTGTGGGAGACTCCTGTCTTTATGCTGGTTGTAGACTTCCCACTGGCATCAGGTTGGCCATTCTTGGCAAAAACCCTAAAGTACTAGATGTTTCTGCAAATCGAAGGAATAAAATAAATAAGTCTGATCCAGGAGGGCTCCACTGTTATTCACTCACAGGTACAGTCCCTAAGACAGAAAAAAACATTTCATACTGCAAATAAGTTTTTTGAATTAAGGTGCATGCAAGCATACTACCCACCCACCCCTCCTCCATCTTGGGGCTCTTTAGCTTGGAGAAACGACAGCTGAGGGGTGACATGATCGAGGTTTACAAGATTATGCATGGGACAGAGCAGGTAGAGAAAGAAGTACTTGTAAAAGGAGCTCTTTCACAAGCCGTTTACAGGGTCCTCAAGACAAACACACATTTGTACCACAGAAACATTGCTTGAAATGAAGCCGGAGTGCTAGATCCTGCTAGTTTTCTCAGTTCCAAGAATGCCTGAGCTATTCCAGTTCCCCACAGTAAATGCTGGATAACTCCTAGAAAACACCACATCTATAATTGCACATGGTGGAAAGCTATAGCAGGCATATGGCGTACTATCCAAGGTAGTGGTGAACATGGACAGCCGTCCTAGATTTCCGCCGATAGCGGAGGGGCTGTGGCTCAGCAGTACAGAATCTACTTGGATCCTGTGTTCGGTGATCGACCTTGACTTGAGACCGTGGAGAGTTGCTGCCAGTCAAGTGGACAACGCAGACCTTGATGGACCACTGGTCTAATTCCGTATAAGGCAGCTTTGTGTGTTCAGTCTTTAAGCAGGCGGAAACAGTGATATTTACAGAGCTTCTGAGAGAATCCTTACCGAGTTACATAAAATTAATTTTGTATAGTTTTTTTCACGGCGCCTTTCTAGTTGTCGAGAGACGTTTGCACAACGTCAGCAGGTAAACAACAGAGGTTCTGCATAACATTGATCAGTGTTTGGCAGTTATATGTAGGGTTTATATGTAGGAAGACTGGAGCACTTTAAATATTGTATGGTTTTATTGCGTGTTTTAAAGTGGCTTTGTTTTACTGTATTTACTGTATTTCATCGATTTAATGTGGCTTTTGCCGTATGTTAGCCGCCCTGAGCCGTTGGGAGGGTGGGGTATAAATCTGAAAATAAATAAATAAATAGAAAATAATAGACCTTGCAATGGAGCCTTTTCTGCCATTTCGTTTTTTTAAAAAAATGTACGCGTAGATACAAGAAACTCCATATGGTTTCTGTGTTGATTACTAAACAAGAAGTTGAATACATGCTATCTAAGATAAGAACATAAGAGAATCCAATGTTGGATCAGGCCAAAGGCCCATCCAGGCCAGCCCTTGAGGCCAACTCATGTAAAAGACAGTAGAACCATGTCATCAGCATACAGAAACATAGATACTTTCTGTTGGCCAAGTGAATGTGGAATAAACTTTGGGCCTGTCAATCTCTTGGCTATCTCATTGAGGTATACGTTGAAGAGCAGGGGAGCTAGAATACACCCATGTTTTACACCTCTGAGGATTGGAATCTCCTCAGTTAACAATCCAGAGGTGCCCACTCTTATTTTGGTTGTTAGGTTACTATGGAGTTTGTGTATAAAAAATAGTAGCCATTTGTTGATGTTTGTAATGGCCAGCTTCGACCAAAGCCAGTTCCTATCCACTGGATCAAAGACAGCTTTTAGGTCCACAAATGCTGCAAACAAATGTTTGGTAGGTCCCATAGTGCATTTTAGGGTGAGATGGTATAGGATCAAGCAAAGATCAATTGTACTTCACCTTTTTCTGAAGCCCACTTGCTCTGAGCAGATAATTTGATTGGAGGCTTCCTAAATAGGGATGGGCACAAAGTGAACCACGAAGCAAAATAATCATGAATTTTGCTGTTCATGGTTTGAGAACCGAAGTTCATGATGGGTCTATCATCACAAACTTTCCATGAACTTCTGTTGCAGTTCATAGATAGAGCAGGAAGCAGGGGTTTAAAGGGCTCCAAGTTCCTTTAAACCCTTGCTTTCTGTACCTGTGAGTGTACCTGTGAGTGAATAACAGTGGAGCCCTGCTAGATCAGACTTGCAGAAACATCTAGTCTTTTAGGGTTTTTGCCAAGAAGGGCCAACCTGATGCCAGTGGGAAGTCTACAACCAGCATAAAGACAGGAGTCTCCCACACCCCACAGTTGGTATCCAAAGCCTACTGCCTTTGAACATGGAGGCTCCATTTAGCCATTATAGCTCTCGAAAGGCCTGTCGCTGTAAGCCTGTAGCTCAGTGGCAGAGCGTCTGTTTTACGTGCAGAAGGTCCTGGGTTCGATCCCCAGCATCGCCAGTTAAATGGACCATGTGGTAGGTGATGTGTAAGACCTCCGCCTGAGACCCTGGAGAGTTGCTTCCAGTCTCAGCAGGCAATACTGACCTTGATAGACCAATTCAGTATGGCAGCTTCATGTGTATTCATATGGGTATAAAAATTTACCTGCAATGGTTATAAGCTGTATACTGCGTTACTAGCACCATGTGTGAATGCTACTGAAACAAAAGTAGAAGAAGAAGAGATTGGATTTATACCCCACCCACTACCCAAAGGAGTCGCAGAGCGGCTTACTAACTCCTTTCCCTTCCCCTCCCCACAACAGACCCCCTGTGAGGTAAAAGAAGAAGAAGAAGAAGACATTGGATTTATACCCCGCCCTTCACTACCCAAAGGAGTCCAAGAGCGGCTTACAAACTCCTTTCCCTTCCCCTCCCC